CTCTTTCCCAAGGAGACCTTTCTGCATGTGCTGTGGTGGCGTGTCCGCCCAGCTGGTGCCCACAAATGTGACTTGCAGCTTCCACAAGCTGAGCACGAGAGCCTCCAGTGCTCTCCTCTGCGCTGATGGGCTGGCAGATGGGCTCCAGGCCAAGGAGGGTGCCTGCCGGCTCATGAGCAGGGCTGTGTGTCACAAGGCCGACGGCTGGATGGCTCGAGGGTGCTGGTGAGAAGTTGAAGAGGGCGAGGTTGTTTCAGTGGTGGTCAGAAAGTGTGTAAATCCTCATAGATGCAGACAAGGCTCTGGTAGTAACCACCCTAAGGAGAAAAGGAGAATAGAGATTATTAGCTTAACTCTTGTATTGTTCCAAGCCTTCCAGTAGACGAAATTAGGTGGGATTACAAGAGGATAATCTCAGATGACTGGAAAATGGCAAACAAGAGAGTGTGCGTGTGAAGAAAGGTCTGTAAAAAGAGGCTGAAAATTCCTGAGCTGTGCAGGCTTGATGACACGCTGCCTGTGCTCTCCCACCGGACAATGAGTGAGCAGCTGCACAGCCCACGGTGTACACGCATTTGTCTGCAGGGTCTGCCTGTCTTGCAGCCCTGGTGGCATAGGTGCAGGCAGGATTTGGGCTGTAGGCAAGGGCTGGCTGCCAGCAATTCCTTCTGGAGCCTTTATATATAAACACAATGAAGTTTTTGTTTTGCAGGAGGGCCTGTGGGTTGTTGTTGCATCCTCTAATCTGAGTGATGCATGTTACATGACCATTATCCCTGTGGCTAAGACCCTATGCCTAGGCAGTGTCTGTGAGTAGGATAGCTGCAGACAGGTAGGGGTAAAGGAGATGTTTTTGCTTTGGTCTTCATAGTTTGGGGCATCCTTTTAAAGGCAGAAGTTTGGTTCATGTGCTGAGCACATGCTTGGTTAAGGTGATGTGAGCATCAGGGCTGATGAGAAGACACCAAATTGAGATTAAAGAGGGACCAAAGGTAGTGTTTGGGAGAGATCAGGAGAACCAAAGGTGGAATTTGGGAGGGATCAGGAAAGATTTACTTGTTTTAAAGCCATTACATTGGGGATCAGATGTCTGCAGGCTGAGAAAGTTCTCGTTTCAGGGTCTGTGCCACCCCCACAACTCATCCAGTAGCTGCCAGGAAGTCTCCATCCATGTTTATTCCCCTGCCCATGCGTGCAGCCCCCGGCTTGCCGCCTGATTGCACAACATCCTCTTCAGCAGCCTCTTTGGCGTGGGGGGAGGCAGGGCGAGGGGGAGAGACCCCCTGGAAGAGCTGAGGAATGCTGGCGCATTCCTTCACACGCGCTGCCGCCGTCTGCCCTTGGCTCCCAGCCATCCTGGCTTAGCACGAAGCAGGGACGCGTTTCCTGTGACTAGAGACATCCCCAACGCCCTTCCTCGTCTGGTTATGCCCAGCACAAAAGTTCTTTCTCTAGGGATTCCTCCTTTTATCTTACACCTTTCATCTCTGGTTGTGGCCTTTCTCTGCTCCTCCAGCCTGTTCCTGACCTCTCACCCTGAGAGCAGAAAGGGAGAAGGAATACTTTTGTTTAATCTGCCATCTCTTAAAATTCTTTAGATTTGTCCCTTGCCTTGGCCTGTTGCCCGCGCATGTGGCCACTGGGAAAGGGCAGCCCCTTCTCCGGCTGGGCAGCCCTGGAGAGCTGCTGGATGCAGGGATGGTCATTCATCAGCGGAGCTCGGTCCTGTGTTACGCCTCATTCTGAAGCCTGGGTGAAACCCTTCCCCCTGCTTGTTGTGTGGCACCTGAGCTTGTGTAAAAGCTCCAGTTTCAGATGGGAGAGAACTCCCTTGGTATGGATGCTGCCAGGAATAGCCTGGATGGCTGTGCTTATTTATTTATCTGTTTGGTCAGTGCTGATCAAAAGCAGCCTGACTTTTCCTCTAGAAATGCTCTTGAGGGAGGAGGAGGGGTTTTTTTAGGTTCAGTGTGGATGAGACCCAAAAGAAAGAAGAAAAAAGGGAAGAAAAAAAAAGCAAGCCCCAACTTTCCCTTCTAGAAATTCCCATGGCTTCTCAAGCAGCAAAACAAAGTACATGCTCCATTACTGGGCCACCCTTGCTGCAGCTAGCAGGAAGGAAGCTGTTAAAAGCCTCATGTTCTCTGGGCAGAAACAAGTTGCTCGGTGCCCCTGGTTCTCACCCAGCTCTGCAGCACTAGCCCTGGACCTGCCACCCATTCTTTGAGGTTTGCTCAGTGCCATGAAAAGGGAGGAGATGAAGGGATTGAGGCTGCATGAAGCTAGTGGGTGTGCTGGTCAGCATGTGGAGCCCTGGAACTTGGTTTTATCTGCTCCTCTGTAGTGCTTCAAAGAGTCACCCAGCCCGTAATGGCCTGACACTCGCTGTTGCTGGTTGGGCACACTGCGTTTTTTTGGATTGAGCTGGGGTAACTGCGCTCGTTATTAACACGCTTTGCAAACCAGAGGGAGGCTCAGCAGAGCTTTGCCCTTCTTAAAGGGCAGAGAGGGAAGGACCAGTCGAGTGCAGTGCCGGTACCTTCTTTCTTACCCCAAAATCACAGGGGAGCACGTTGGCAGCACTGTCGCCAGTACTGAGGCCCAAGCCCTCCGGATCAGCTCCTGCCAGTCACTAGGAGGAGCTGAAGATCGCACGTTGCCGCAGCCCTTCAGATGAGGCTGTTCAAGCCCTGGAAGACAGACAGACTGCTGGGAGCTGTGCTGGACTGGCCAGCTGGGTGGGAAGGAAGGGAAGCACAAGATGTCCCTTTCATCTCAGGCTCCCGATGGGAGAAGAGCCAGCCCTCTGGCAGGTTTCCTGAAGAAGGATTTGCAGATCCTTGCTGGCAGCGGGGCTGGCAGCGCACGTGGGAAGGCCCCACAGGCGGGGAGGCAGCAGGCGAGATAAGGACAGGACGTGTTTTGGGGGGGAGGCTTTGCAGAGATAAGGGCACCAAAGAAACATGACCGGATCTCTCTGTTGCCGCAGCTCTCCGAGCTCTGGTTGCTCCTTCTCCGAATCATGTCCCCAGGGTCTCTTCTGTCGCCGGTCAGCTGGCAAGTCCCTGGGGATTTGTGATTTCCACTGCTGTTCTCTTGGATAATTCTCAGAAAACTTTGTTCTGGGCTAAAAAAGCGGTGCCTGGAGCAGTGCAGCTGCCTGCTGGCTCTGGTCAGAGGGACATTTTCACTTCTTACCTAATCGTCAGAGATCCGCAGGGGACAGCCACTAGTGTGTGACCAGCTAAAGCACTGAAAACAGGAGCAGAAAAGGAAGGATGGGTTGGAGGGGGTTGTCATTACCAGGGTAGGATGGAGCAGGAAATCTGCCTGTGCAGTGGTGGGTGGGGAACCCTCAACCAGCTCCAGTCCTGTCTGGAGAACACAGGTTCAGTCTGATACCGCCCTGGCCCTACACTGGCCAAAGGTCATCATGCCTGAGAGGTGTCCTGGTAAAAGACCAGGTTTGTTTGCTTATGGTAGGACAAAAGAGAAGAGGAGGAATTTGTACTGGGCGGGGGGGAAAGATTTACCTGTTTGTTTTTATATGAGCTTTGGGTTTGTCTTTAAATTTTTGGGTCTTGTTTAAACTCAAAAAGCTGCTCAGCCTTGACTTAACCAGTGCAATGTAAGTCAGTGCAGAGATGAGGCCACAGGGAGAGGAGGAACTTGGCTGGCCTGTGTTTTGCAAGCGGACGTGTTACCCTTGAGCAGTGTATGCTCAGCTCCCTTGTAGCCACTTCTGCAGAGCTCCATTTGGGGCCTGGGTGCAGCTGGGCTCCCTGCAGCCTCTGCTTACCTCTGTCTCCCCATTTCTGTTGCTCCCAGGTGTCAGCAGTGCCGACTGTGCTGGCTATGAAGAACGGAGACGTGGTGGATAAGTTTGTGGGGATAAAGGATGAGGATCAGCTGGAGGCATTCCTCAAGAAACTCATCGGAGCCTGAAGTAAAAGGGTGGCTGTACCTCTGCCTCTGGACACATCCATGTTGTGCATTCCTTGCCAGGGAGAGCTGAGGGGCACATGAACTGCCTGCCTTGTACCACCTGGGGTTTTCTTCTGGTTTGGGGTTTTTTGGAGATGCACCATGTTGTAACCCTTCCCTCCCACTCCCCCTTCTCTTGCACAGCAGTAGTTGTAAAAGGTGCTGAGGAGCGGGGCTGCTTGTTCTCAAAATGGGGAATGTGGCTGGAATTAGGAGCCTGTGTTTATCAGCAAAGAGCTGACACGCGGAGCTGCTGCTGAGTTAAGAGGAGGAATGTTTTTCTCTTTGCCTAGCATTTAATAGCCCAGAGCAGAGGGCAGCTGCTCCCTGCAAAATGTGGGTACATACCTGTCCTGGGTGGGTTTGTTTAAAGCTGAGAACGCCTCTGCTTTGTCTGTGAAACCTGTCTCTCTGTCCCTGTGTCCTCATGTGGCTGGGACAGGTACAACTCCTCCACAAACCCACTGGCTCCCATCATAATTTTATAAGATAAAATAGAAGTATTTTATGGATCTTCTTTTGTAGGTCTATAATTAAGAGAACTTTATTGGTCACTGCTGTCTAGCTGGAGAATAAAACTTGATTTTCAGAAATCACAGGGAAGTCCCTTGTCTGTCCAGAGAGATGACAGGGAGCATCAGCAGCACAGTGGCTGGTTCCTAACAATGGGTTGAGAAAGTGCAGGTTACAACTTGATCCCTACTGAAAGGTAATGTGCTGAAAAACAAACAAGTGGATTAGTTCCACGGGGCTTTCAGTGCTGCTTCTAGGACCCCCTTTGAGTGCTGCTGGGTCTGGGATGCCAGAAGGAGGACTCACCTCCTGCGCACAGAGGAGCAGCAGCTTGTTGTG